TGACTGTCGACGGCTTGTCAGTTGAACCACATACTTTACGACTTTTGGTGGCGCGTGCTCCATCTTTGACTACCTCTTGCTTCGTCACTTTGTTTGATACGACCGATTGCTGTAATTGATCAAAATTTGAATTTCGGATGATTCGAATGCATCTCGCTTTAGAACCACTTTCGAAGGTTTTGTAAAGTTCGATATCAATTCATCCATGTTGACATTTTTATTTTTTACATCATGAGAAATCTTCACCAAACGATATTTAAAAAAAACAAAGGGACGACACGTTTTGACGAAGTCTACGGCGAACTCATGAACTATCGAAAAGTCAATACAAAATGATACGAGAGTTCGTGGCGCTGCGAGCGCTCAAATGATGTTTGTACTGAAGTGTCGTCAGCTTGAAAAAAAACAATTGGTTATCATTTAAAATGTTTCGAAGTTCTTTTTTAGGTTAAATCCGCTTACATTTTGTTTTCTGCTTCGAGTCACCATTCGGTGTAGTTGATTTTCTTTTTGTTCCTGTGATAGTCATTGAAATTAGGATTCTTTTTTTTCAAAAATTTTTTCAATATTCAATTAAACCTTAAAATTCTTTAATATATCACTTACTCTGACAATTTTTCGCTTAACTGGTGCCATTTTGAGAACAGTTTATGTTATAAATCACGCAAATTTTAAACGGGTAACCTCAAATGTATGCACGGCCGTAGCCAGCACAAATTTCTTGGATGAGCGGAGAGAATTTTTGGGTGAGCGCAGCAAAATTTGATGATTATGAAACTGTCATTAATTTTGAAAATCGATTCTGTCTAGTGTAAAAGCCACAAATAATCAAATAATGTATAAAATGTGATTTTATAGAGATCCCAGCCCCTTGGAACTTCATTCCTTTTATTCCAAAAACGCTTCATTCACAGATTCACACTATATCACGGTGAAACACGTGATTTGTAATTTCTAGCGAATCATCAGGATTCTTAATCCCATCAGATTCAATTTAGTGTCTGTAGTAATTTGAAATTGTTATTCGTATTGTATTGCTTGAACTTTATAATATGCCACGTCAGAACTAACATATCAATTTAAGACAACGGTTTACACTGTGTTGATGTTGTCAATTTGATGCAGAAATTTTTCTTGAAAAACCAATACACACGACAGCCATTGTAAATTAGTTATTATCAATAGGAAAATAACTCAAACGATTCGCTAGAAATCCCAAGCGTATGGCTGAATACGGCCGTGAATGTATGTAGTCAAAGAGTTGTTGCAAATTTTTTTAGCTTCGTCACGTTCAAGTACTGAAATCCAAATGAACGCTTTATTGCGCTCTTTACAGATTCCTGTCATATTTGCGACAATCACTGAGTGATTATCACTTTATAATATGAAGTGTGTCACGAATCATGAAATATTTCATAAAACATATTCATTATTCATTGTTATTGTTTCTTTTTTTTTCATTTTCATGAAGAATATTAAATTTTAAACGTTGTTATTACGTAAATTTTAGATTAAATATTCTGTTTTTGTTCTGTTGAAGAGTTAATTAAATCGTAATTTTAAAAAAGCCACCAGATAGCGTGACAATAACTCATTATGGTAATACTTTACTCATCAAACAACACAAATCAAATGACATTTCAATGATACGCTTGAAAAAAAAATCGTGTTTTCCCGTCGATATATATTTATATATAATTTGTTCGTCATCGTCAGATATTTTATTTAGTTTTCAAAGATATTTATCATGAACGTAAACAGCGATTGTTTGGATGATTCAGTGGTAGAAGAAAATCTATCACAAGAATTTTTGAATGGAAATGGAGCAGAAATGCCAAACGGGAAAAGAAGGCGTTCTGATACAGCTAATCGTGGATCCTTAGGTGAATAGTCAAAATTTGTAATTTAAAATGTTTGAACTGAAATTTCGAAAATATAATTGTTGAACTAATTGGGTTTTTCATCTAGATCTTATTTCTGGTCCAAGGCTAAGTACAAACGACAACCATACCAATGGTGAAGCGGATGATTCAGTTGATAAGACATCAGGAATACTTTCCAGCAAACATAACATTGGTTAGCTTAGTTTCATTTCATCGAAATTTTTAGATTAAAACTTTTTAAATGTAATAAGAATCTTAATATAATTTTTTTCTGACTTTTCAGAAAAGAAATTGGCCATCTTGAAAGAGAAAAAGTCTCAAGGTAAATTGAATTTTTCGCGAAAAACTGGACCCTCCTGGTCCAAATGGTGGGGAAATTTCGAAGAAATTTTTGACGGAGACTCTAAAGAAGAATTCGTGAGATGCAAATTGTGCAAAGGTTATGAGTACAAACCTGGCACAAATACCAACTCAATTATGCGCCATAAGTGTCACCCTTCTCAGCGTAAACCTGTCCATATTACAACGGAAATGATATCGAAATTGAAAACAGCTTCTGCATGTTTCGTTTCAAAGGATTTAAGGCCTTTCAAAGCTATTGAGTGCGAAGGTTTTTTGGATATTTGCACTGCGTGTATGCATTTTGGCCAGAAATACAAAAGTGCTACACGTAGAGATCTCGAAGACGCAATGCCATCTCGCAATACTGTGCGAAATGCAGTGGCTGAAATAGCCAAATCAAATCGCAACAAAATCAAAGATGTGCTCTGGGCAGCAATCGAAACAGGAGGAGTTGCTGCAACCACGGATTGCTGGCAAGACGATTTTCGCAAACGTCATTACATCTGCGTCGTCGTACATTTAACTACTGACAATCCAAAGAAAGAAATTACGCGTTCCCGTTATGTACTGGCTACTAGAGAAATTCCTGAATTGTGTAAGACAGGTGTGAAGACGAATGGAAATTGTTTTTGATTTATTCAAATTTTGACATTCTGACATAAAAGTTTTAATACCAACAATGTTAATTTCTTATTTTAGGCAAAGTCCTAATTGATCATATCATTGCTGTGTTTGGAGAATACGGCTTTTCTGAAGAAGAGGTTAAAATGCACTTTACGTTTGTAAGTGATCACGGAGCTGACATAAAGTCTGGCTTGTTGAACAATGGCTTTAAAAGATTGACATGCTACGCCCATATAATCCACAACCTGGTGTCAAAAATGCTGTCAGAGGAAACAGTGAAAGGTGTTGTGGATAATTGTTCGAAATTGTCAACATATGTAAAGAATGCTGGTTTGAATCAACATTTGCCGAAATCACTCAAAAAACATATAAGCACCAGGTAATGAAGCTTTCACAAATAAACATTTTTTTCGAAAATCCTTGAACTAAAATTAAAACACTTTAATTTAAAAAATTTATTGTAATAAATTAAATAAAAAGAATTACATTGGTAATCCCGAACTTTTCCGTACCGTTGGCCTGCGTTGTCCGTAGGTACTTTTGGTTATTTTTTGTGAATTTTCTTGAAATAAAGGCAGTGAAAATAAATAATAATGAAAATAAAGTGAAAAATCGACAATTCTGTATGAGAGGTACCCGTAAACCGATCCTCATTGGCTTTAAACTTTCTGAGGTTTCATTTTTTGGAGAAAAAATAAGATTCTGAAAGTTTCATGTTGATCGCATTTGCAGAAGTTTGGTTTTTGGCCCCAAGAAAATTTCGACAAAAATTGAGTACAAAAAATCAAACTTCTGCAAATGCGATCAACATGAAACTTTGAGAATCTATATATTAATACGCGAGGAGTTTTTTTGTCATCCCTTTTTAA